CTACGTAGTAACTAAAGTCAGACAGGATGATTGATTTATTATTTACCATTAAATTTATCCTGAAATAATAATAATTTTGAAATTTTTTAAGTTTTTGCTTATTTAAATAGTATTTATTAAGTGAGTAAATATTTTTTATGTCTATCCTCTTTCCTTTATAGAGGTACCGACTTTACTTTTTTTAAAGACGACATACATATTATATACGTATGTAAACAAGTCTAATATTATTTGACTAGTTTGTTTAATAGAAAATATACAAACCAATGAAATGAGTGGTGGATAACAACTTTTGTTCTGGTAGTCAGAAGTTATGAATATTTTTATATTTTGATAAAAGAGAGTACGGCGATAGAGAAATGCGTAATGATAAAATTAACATATTCCACACCTCACCTCCAATCTATATTTAAATAACATCAGAAATACTCGTTCAAAAATAATTCCTAACTTATCATTTTTATAGTTATCCATTACATAAAATAGCTAAATATGTTACCATTTCAAAAGAATAAAGTTAATAGACTTTTGAGCGACAACGAATAGTAATAAAAAGTATTTATTCATTTGAAAATTGAGACATAAATTTAAAAAAACAAGGTTAATTTTTTTTTTTCAAAATTATTATAATTTTAAAGAAACTTTAGGTATATTAATCATTGTCCGTATTTCCTGTTAAAATATTGTTTGAATAATTATTATAATTTATTATTATTANATTGTGAATAATTATTATAATTTATTATTATTATTATAATTATAGTAATTTGAATAATATAGTATATAGTGTATATAATTTATAATTACTAAAATATTTCATTGATTATTTATTATAAGAGCAATGTTTTTTAAATAATATAGATTAATGTTAAACCGAAAAATGTTTATATTGATCTTAAAGCGTTATTTAATAATTTAAACAAGAACGAGAAAACTACAGAGAACGCAGAAAAATACGATTATTATAAAGTTGTTACAAGAATTATAATGTCACACTATGATAATTAGATACATAATTAAAAATGATGATAATTTAATTTGAAATATACTAAAAAAGTGTGAAGTCAATAGTCGCCTTATATTTACATAACACATTTTAGGATAAGTAAAGCTGCAACTAAAACGTTCAAGTAAAACTCTTTAATAAAGTAATTAAATTTTGAATTCCAAAAAGTTTTCTAATATTTTATCAAAGATTACATTAATGGATAAATTATTTAATACATATATATTTTTGAAATACCAAATTTAACACATTTTAGACAAATCTAACCTATTAGAGAAATTACAATTGTGTAATTTCCAAACAATTTTTGTACTTATTGTTTACAGAACCAAAAGATAAAATAAATATGATAAAATACTTTTGTATATTATTAACCAAGAATGTCAAATGTGTTATGAAAGCCTCTTTAGAAATTGAATATGAAAAATTATTGATGGTTGTGTTTAAGTACTACTCTGATGATTTAAAATTCATCTCTACATCAGTATTTTTAGATTTTTGAAGAATAAAAATATTGAACTGAAAGAAAGCACTTGATATAGATGACTACTATAAAACAGGCAAAAGATGAAGAGAAAAAATCAAACGATAATACGAATAAAAACAATGGGCAACTAGATTTCGAAAGTTATTATTTAAAAATTTGATAAGACTATTAGTTATCAGCATTAGTTTGGATTTTTTATTTTTATTTTCACAAATTATATTTAAATAAATATAAATTTACAAAAAACTTAAATAAATGATTGAAATAATCTTCCGATATTAGCTTTCTAAAACGAATAGTACCCCATTTATCACATTTTATAAATCTTTAAATGCTGATATCTCAATTTTTATAACTTTTTTTTTTTTTTTTGATGGTGATGACTATGATATAATTTGGTCTCTCGGTCATTTTAGTATACGAGTAAAACTTTCAGGAAGAGTTTGATAAGTATGGTTGCTTATTAGAAGATTTTGGTAATTTTAACGCACTTTGCCTTTTTTAAATAAAAAATAACAAATCAGTAAAATTGATTTATTTGGTAATCTAGAGTACTGTTTGATTTTATGAGTACAAAATAGCTTAAGTTAATTAATTAATACTTATTTTTTTTTTTTTTTAATGTATAGATATCTTACAAATATTACACTTAGGTAGTTTACTTATTGAAATTAAAAATTAGTCTTTAATTAAGGTAAGTATGAAAAATACTTTATTTTATATGCATGGCTCCTATTACGCAACTCAATAATAATTCATAGAAGGCTAAGAAAGTTTTCTCATTTTTGTAACTCGTTACAATTACCTTACTCGTTAAATAAGGTAAATTTTAAAAGTATTACGTTAAGAATTTAATAATAAAAAAATTTAACTATATTTTACATAGTTGTAGTTGAAATGCGTTAATCCTTTAATTAACTATTGTATTACTTTAAATGTTTACAAATTTATCAATGTCTTTAGTTTTGGACTGACGTTTCGACTTATAGAGTCCATCTTCAGCACGATAATTACTAGTTCGTGGTTGTAACTACACTGTTGGCATTGATTGTATACAGTTTGTTATTATATCGGCTGATAACTGATAACGTTGATGATAATTATTTGTTGTTGTTTTTATCAATTGTCGGTTTGTTATTTTCGTTTGATTTTTGTTTTTATTTACGGCATTCTTAGCATTTGGCTCCTTCCTTTTCTACACATGTTCCTTTTATTTTTTTAGTCTGATACGATAAATATAGTTTCTTTGCATAATAAATTAAAAACTTAATTAAAATAATTATTTTAAATTATTAAATTACAAAAATCAGACGAACAGAACAAACCGACAGTTGTTATCAACAACAACAAATATTCACATCAACGTTTAAATTATGCATACATTTGTAAACATTTTAAACAATTGTTTTAATATATTTAAATTCAACGCATTATTTAGGTTGAAAAATAAATTAGTTAAGTTAAATATTAAACCCATAAAAATAGTAACGACAATGATGAGCGAGATTAATATCATTAAATTATAGATTGCTCACTTTTTTTTATGATTTTTGTTTTGGTTACACTTATTAACATTTGACGCTTATAATAACAATACAAAAAAATAATATTTATAATCTTAAATATCATAATGTTATTTATTCAGTTTGATTTTTAAACTTATTTAACCGATTAAATTATAAAGCGCATTGCAAATGGATTGGCAGTGTAATGTATTTTAATATGATAAATATATAAAATAAAGACATACATAATATGACTAACAAACGAGTTACTTAACTTAAATAAATTAACTTTATTTAGACCTCATTTACTAAATGAACTTATGGACTTTATTTTAGCTTTTTGCTAACTGTAAAATTAACACGTTAACGACAACCTTGGTATGTTTATGATGGATCTAGTTGGGAATTTTTTAATAAAAAAATTAACTCTTCCATATTCATGAAATTAATGAAATTGAAAATAAAATAAATGACGAATTTTCGTTGAACGGATGATTAAATTACAAAATACATCAATATTATCAAAATAATTTTATTCTGATTGATCTTGACTTTTTATAATGAATAGGTACTTAAGTTCGTGTCAATATTTAAATTATGTTAAAACTAGTAGGTAATGTCAAATCTTTAATGTTCAAAATAGTTTCTAAAATATGACAATAAGGTATAAAAATGGCGTAAATACTAAGTATAACATAATAAATTCCCTATAAATTGAATTATTACCTTTAAAATCTTTGATTTATTTTTATGAACCATTTTAAATATCAAGTTTATTGTAAACAATTTATTTCTAAGGGTTGAAGATGGTTAGTGTTATTTTATTGTTACATTATTTTTAACATGACACACTGATTCTTTTACGTTGGGCTCTTCTATTGCCCTATAAATAAAAATTATGTCAACTCGAAAAGTCCTAACACAAAACTGGTAATTGATCAGTGAAATTTTATTCAATACATTCTCCTTTTAATAATAAAAATATAATTATATATACCATTTAACTTTCTAAAGTTACTTCTAAAATCTATTTTTAGAAATAACTTTTTCCTACAATAAACTTAATATTTATTGTTTATAAAAATAAATACAAATTTACTCATTAGATATTTATCAAAAAATCTATGTATAACTTGTGAATGAGACACAACTTCTCAAAAAATGATCACCACGATAAAAAACGTAAGTTACAAATTTATGAATTGAAATGTTTACAATCGTTTATTTTTGAATTAAATATAGGTTTGGCGGTCATAAATTTTATAACTGCCAAGAAAATGTATTAATTATAAAGTTTTTTATTTGATTTCTTAACATAGTGATTATATGATCTCTGAAAAACATTGGAATCTTTATGTTTAGGAGTAATTTCTAGTTTTTAATGACTTCAAGATCGGTCTATTCCGGTATTGAGATGTGGAGGGTGTTACGTCTCTATACCTATTAAAATTTAATAGTTTTAATCGGTAATTTTTTAGTATAAGATGATGTTACAAAAAAATAATTATTAAAAATGGCCAATAAAAAAAAATTATTCATATGGCAAAAATAATTTTTTACACTCTTCCCTATATTTTTAACTTCAGAATGGTCTTGCTTTTAGATATCACTTTGTGTTCATAATTAAAATCATTACAAGTTTTAACACAACATTTTTTGCATAATCTACAATAAAAAAATTGTTTTAAATTAAGTAATCTTAGTTTAGTCTAGAGTGTTCAAAATTATAACTTTTAATAAATGACTTTCAAATCATTATCATCATCAACATAGCCTCTGTCCCAATTATTCGGGTTCGGCTTTGCCTTTACGATTTGACCGAATTTTAGACCAACTGACGCAATTTCATTATGGCTGATAGAACCAGTATGGGACAAGGTGTGTGCCACTGTTCAACAAATAACTTTTAAATAAATTAAAAAAAAAATTATATTTTTCAATATTTAAGTAAACTACCTAAGTCTAATATCTTTATGATTTTTATACATTTAAACTAGTTGAGAGTGCCGATATGAAGGAAATATTGGATTAACTTATAAACCGCTATCAACTCGGTTATAACTATCATAATACTGTTGAGCATTTACGAAGCGTTGATAACAAGATTCTATTATCAATGACAAAAAAAAATCTTATGACGTTAAGAATGTCCTGTTTGAAGTAATTTAATTTTAAATAATTTGTGGCTTGTTTAAGATTTAATTTGTTACTTTAATGTTTTCTCTTATATATTAAAATGTCAATGCCAATTGAATTAAATTTAGAAACTGTTCGAGATTTTATGATAATGAATGGTGGCAAAGTAACTAATCATGATCTAGTTACACATTTCAAATATTTTCTGACAAATCCACAAAACAGAGGTAAAGTTTTCTAATATTTAAAACTTTTATCCAAAATTTTCTTTAATATGTTTTATTTTTAGTTGAAGCGAGACATAAATTCAAGGAAATTGTGAATACAGTAGCAACAGTAATTCGCGGTGATGATGTAAGATGAATAGTATAAAATTATAGTTTATTAATACTTGTTACTATAAATATTTTGATTATAGGGAGAGAAATATTTAATGCTAAAACGACGTTTTCGCGCAGCTGGTTGTGTTGGAATCTCACCTGAACCATCCATGAGTACAGCCTCATCGCTAACATCTCTCACTTCTTATCCAGGATTATCTTCTGTACATCAATCACTATCTCAAGAGTCATTAATTGATCCACATCGATTTCAGCAAATGTCTTTGATTAAATCACCATCTATCAGGTATAAATAACAAGATGAATAATTATTATTTTTGTATGTTAATTGATCACTGTTATATTCAGACAACCTCCACCTTATCGACCTCCTCCATCTCCATCACCTTCACCAAAGGAATACTCACCAACTAAAGAAATAGCGCCTCCTGTACCTCCAAGACGAAGAAGTTCAGAAAAATTAAGATTATCAGAGTCCTTTGAGAGTGATTATGACAGTTCTAAAACAAATGATGTAAGTAATTTTGAAATTAAAATACATACTTTGAGTGATTGGTTTAAAGTGATAATCACAATACATAATAATTGTTGGCCTACATTGTATGTATTTTGCTTTTGTGTGTGTGTGTGTGTGTATTATTTAGAAAGAAAATGAACAACAGCAACAAACTCAAATAAGTGTAAAAGATCGTACTAAAAAATTTAATCGAATGGCTTCAGAAAGTGCTTTACAAAATCTGCAACCCTCACCAAATAAAAAAAAAATAGATAAGGTAAGTCATGTTAGTATTCTGTATAATTTTTTGAATTAATTAGTAGTGTCAATCAGTTTTCTTATTGTTATGTTTTTTTTATATTATTTGAAGTAACATGCATCTATTAATTGCTTGCTTTTCAAATGTGATATTATGTATAACAAAATTTTCAATAATGTTTATCGGTTCTACATTAAAGTTTTCGATATTTTTTACTTTCATTTCAGTGTTTACTATACTCACAAGCAATAAATAGGTATTTGTACCTTTTAAATATTAATTATTGAGAATATGCAATTAATTTATAATAATGGACTTTAAATTAATTAAATGTGGACGTTTGCTAGTTATTATTAGAACTATCGTTAAAAATGTGTTATCAAATATATACTTTTTCATTTTATTTACTAATATACATACATAAGCAGAATACTTTTCTGAATATCCATGAAATATTTTTTAGATCATTATCTAATCTCAAAAAATTATTAATAAATCTTATTCATGCAATTTAAATAATCTTCAATAAAGAAAAATCTTGAGGGTTATACATTTATTCTAAATACCAACGTTATATTGTAAAAATAATTTTTCAAGTTTAAAGTATTTGTAATTTATAACATATTTAACAATACTTCACAAAAAAGAAAAAAATATACAATACAAAATGTGATTATTTTAAATGTTATATATCGAATTTAATTTCCTTGTGCTGTGTAATGTGTTTTATTTAATATAAAATAATTTTTAGATTTGATATAAGTATTCAAAAAAGTATTTCTAGAGGTATTCTAGAAATTATTTTACCCGAGTTTGCTAATACATTTCTTTTTTTTATGATATCAGGGCGGTATATTTCACTTTATATTACAAACAATAGTTTTTAAGTATAGACTATTGTTAAGTTGATTAAAATAAATTCAACCGTAGAAGAAATTTTTTTTAAAATATAGAAGTTAAAATTTTTATTTTGCAATCCAAATCAAAATTGCGAAATTAAACTAATTAGAAGTTATTACACGTATTTTATATATATTTTTGTATTTATTTCGAAATTATTAAGGATATGTTTTCTTATAATTTTTAGAATTCGTAAATTTACCTATAAGTAATTGTATGAATCACAATAAATATATTGATACTGATATAGGTTATATTTGTATCTTGTCAATGAAATTCATGTGGTTAACCACTATTACCTAAAAGAACATTTCACTCGAGTTTTTATTTTAAAGCATACCATTATTATATTGTTTATTTTAATGAGTCATTGGTGGTAATTTGTCAATTAGCTATTAAATGGCTATAATACATAAATAACTATTGACAAAATGTTTTCTAAACGTTAAATTAAATTAATATGGAGAATCTTAAGCTGATATAATATATTTTGGCTTACACTTCCTAGAATAATCAATTTTTATATTGATTTCAAAAGATAAAAGTTTAATAATTTAATTATAGGTAGATAAATTTCATACTGTTTTTCATCATTACTTATGTTAATTTGATAGTTCAAACACATTCAATATTAAAACGTGACGATCATGTGATAAGGTTTTTGTAAATATAAAACAGATGGTTCATTTAACTCATTGAAATGGGTCCATCTGTATTAAACAATGAATTTTTCATAATATTTTAGCTTTAGTGAAAACTTAATGTAAATTTTTTTACAATGAACATTTTCTAAAATTATAAAAAAACTTTTCATTGGTAAGGATTGCAGTATTATAATCTCTTGAACTATTATGTTTATAAAATATTTACTAATAGTTAAATATAAATATTGGAACATTATTAGCGAGTTTTATGAGTTTTCTTTGTTATATCAAATGATTGATTTGTAATAGAAAACCATTGATCATTATTAAAGCGGCTGTTCAAAATAATAAATCCATTTAATTCTTAAAACGTGAGTCTTTTATCATAACATTAATAATCTCTAAACTGCTTAATTATTAAAATTTCGATTTGATCTGTTTATTTCATTGTGTTTATTGTATAAATCTATAAAATAAAACCTTATGAAATATTTTCTGTCTATTTTATGCATTAGCCTTAATATTATTAAAAAAAATAACTTTAGTAGCATTCGAGCTTTTAAATTGGTCGAATGTTTTATTTGTGAACCTCATTACAGTTTTTTATGTATATGAAACTACGAACACGAAATTTTTTAATTTTTATGTAATGTCTGAATTTAAAATTAATTCACTTAATGTAAGTAATAATTTAAATGAGTAATATTTAGCATAAATTAATCCAATTAAAAAAATGCTGTTGAATGATTTAGATTAGTAACCATATCCGTCAATTATTTTTGAAAATTCACTCTTTAATATAATTTTGTTCAGTAGAAATTGCTTTCTACATAGACAAATAATTTGTAAACAAAAGTTAATATTTTTTACTGAGTTTTAATATTAAACAAATTTGTTTTATGTATCTTGTAAAGTTTTTAAGTAGTAGATGCATCAAGTTATTGTACCAATATCCTCAGTTGTCTTCTATAACAGGTATAATATTGTTTAATTTTATACATTTTGAATGCCCGACGTTTCTAAAATAGTCAATCTTAAGATTTTCATGTGTCATGTTTGATAATTACTCATTAATAAAATAATATGGTTGATGCCTTTGTTGTTTATTTACAGAATCATAACAAAACTTCTGTTATGTCTGAACTCTTAAGTATTTAGTGTCGTAAAATAATATTAAATGCGGCAAACTCTATATTAATGCGACATTTGATGGCTTGTTTAATTTATGGCCAGCAAACCCCAGGATACCAGTGGTGCAAAGGACTAGCGTTATTTATTGTCGCGACCACCTAGAGTATGTAATTTTAATTAATTAAACGCATTCATACTTAATGAACTCGATCGAATTATATATTTTTGGCTCAGTTGAAGGGCAAAAATGGAGCGTTCATTAGAGACTAGTAACAACGGTTCTACCGCGTGTGTTTGTGTGATTAATTCATAGTAAAGTTACATTAAAAAATATAAAAATAATTGTATAAATACATACTTTATATGTAAAATATAAAATGTTCGTTGTAATCATTTAAACGACTTTGTCCTGGCAAGCGTATATTTTAAATTTCAATACACCTGATAACTGTATGTAACTTTAAAATGTAATAATTAATTTTTGATGAAAATTTCATTCGTGAATCTGTTTATCGTTTATTATACTTAAAGAACGCGAGAAATTGAAACAAATAAGCATTTGTCTTAACTATTCCGATAATGAAAAACTTATCAACTTTTTCCTCCTGAAATATTAAATTTAATTGTGTAAAACAATTTTTATGAGTTGTGCAATTAAAAGTATGAATTTTGATCGAATGTCTGATAAACATTATAATATTGTATATTGCTAAAAAAATGTTTATATTTCTTTTTATGATGGTGTGGTACAATCTTTCTGACTAAAATGAATACTTTTTCTTTAAAACTAATAATTTTAATGCATATTGTCAGATTTCATGAACACTTATGATACTACCAGTATTTTTTTTACTTTCTCTGTAATATTAATTCCTCTTCTTAAATTCTACTGTCAACAATTAAAGAAAATCTCAAAGTTATTGCAAATTAAAACTAATATTTAAGTGTTATATTGTTCGGCTTCGAGTACTTAAGTACAAAAACCAATTTTATACTTGTTGTGTTTTTTTTACGTAATGTTGGCCTGAATTACAGCCAAAATCCGTTCGCAGTAGCTTATATATGACTTAAAAGCTTATAAGTAAGACTCATTAACGATAGTATTACGTAAAATAATTAAGTGTTAGATATAAATACAGCAAGCATAGTCTTATCATGTTATTTCATATTTTTCCATGTTATTTGAAAAATGAACCGCTCAATAAATAAGTAAAATACAGTATTTCATTGACAGTTTTTTACAATAATTGTGCGATTGGAAAACAATGAGGCTTTGCTTAGTTCCTACCTGTTGTTGACAGTGAGAACCAATTAACTTTTAGAAATAAACGATTACCCATAAATCACCGGAGGATGGGCCGAGCTTTTGGCCAAGATTTATGTAATCCGTACAAACCTTTGACACCGTTGTAGAATTGTTTCCCGACCGATGTGTTATACGTGATTTACAGCCGAGGGCAATTATTTTATCTGAGAAACGTATTATGTCTTTAAAACTACTATACCAATCTTGCTGGTCCTAAATTTCTATTTTTAAGTTCTATGCCTGTCGGTAATAAATTACGACTACCGAAAACAATGTTAACAGCTAACCAAATCAAATAAAAATAAAACAACAACCACTACGTTGTATCGAACAATCGTATTTAACCCTTATACTTTTTTTTCATTGCAAGAAACACAGTATTAATATCTACACAAAAAAAAAAACTAACCTTTCTGATAAATTTAATTTTGGCTGAAAGTATAATATTTTTACATTTTTGTAATTTTTCAAGTTATATTATGGTATTTAAGAGTCATAATTTTATTGATTTTTCTTGTATGAATTCTAAACGCATCATAATACTATTACAGTATAATTTCATATTACAATATGCATTATTTTACTAGTATATAGTTAAAATGAAATTTTATCTAAGAAAGGTTTTGAATGGACAAATCTTTTACTTGACAAGTTTATTTAGAAGTCACAAACTTTGCTATTTAAATTTTTTATGTCATTTCGAAGTTTGTTTTTTCTTACAAGTTGTCAGCTGTTAGTTTAAAGTCTATGTACAATATAATTTTGTATCTGACTCGTGTTATTACAAAATATTTTTTTTTGCGTATGTATAATAACCAATTCAAAACGTAAATGTTGTAATCTCATACTTTATAGATTCGTTAGACATCTGAGTTTAGATTGTCTCGGTAAAATTGTAGTGATAGTATAAAAATTGAATGAATTTTTAAATGTTTCAAATTATATGTAACTTTATTTGACAGTGGTTTAAATGTTGAGTCATTTTTTCCACTAACTTATTGATTATAAGTTATTGTGATCACCTGAATCTATTTATGTATTCGTAGCTTAATAGATTATCAAAAATAACTTCAAAGAGACTAAAACGGAAACCCTTTATTTGATTTATTCTAATTCGTCATACATAAACCAATTTAATTATAAAAACTTGATTAACCGGTCTGAATTTGTTATTAATATAGTAATAATTTGTTTTCCAAATCACTAATTAACGAATTACAAATTAATTACTATTGCGTGGCATTGTTTAACACACGAATGTACTATCTTTGTTAGATAAAGTTACACGTACGGTGTAACGTGTGATGATTAGTTTAATATTTAAACACAATACTGTTAGTTACAAGAATAAAACGTATGGTGGGATACCTACGGGTTAAATTTCGAGTGGTTGTTATTTATAACAAAGTGTTTGACAAAAAAAAAAGGACAATTCAAATAGTGTGAACGCGTCGAAGAAGCGAGTAGAGCAAATGTGACAGTTCAATAATTGAATTAGAATCGTAACAAATGTTTGAGTGTGCGTACAAAACACGGTTGGAAAGTGTGCCAGGTAGCATTTTATATACATAAAAATTATCTCAATAAGTAACACAATAAAAAATCCACGAATATTTGACTTTAAACGCGATTTGTCGTTTCCGCTATAGATTTTTCTTTTGAAGAAGTAGTATTATCTAGTATTCACATAATGTAATTATAATTTTACTTTGGCCATTATCAGACCGGCTGTGCCTGAAGCATGCTGCAGTTATTCTTCTTAAACTTTTAATCCCTCGCTTTATGTACAACCGTCGTTTTATACAATAATAACTTCACTAACGAGAAATCGCCTCTGGGGTCGGCAAAACGAAGTAGTGACAATAACAACAGCAAAAAAGTATGCTACTGCCGTATGCTTTATGTGCGGTTTTTGATCGCATTAACCGAGGGACGGGAGTCTAATGATCCACGGCAACAAGTTGCCCTCCAGCAGCGTCGCGTGCCCGCACAACATCAGTCGCCACGAAGAAGACTCATTGCGGTTTTTTCAACGTTTTCCATTCCTTTTTGCAATTTTCCCTTGATGTCCTAGACGCGTGCACAGTACGCGTACACGTGTCCCATTAAAAACCGTGAGTTTCTTTCCCTTGAACGGTTTGTCACTTTTCTACGATATACTCTATTGTACTACAATTTCTAACCGTCATCGATCATTACTTTACAACATTGTTTGGTCGTGTGTAGTATGTTTCATCATAAAAACATAATAATTTGAGACTAATAATTGCGCATGAGAAATTCTGATCTTAACATCAACATTTTTCAACTTGAATCATTTTAATTAGATTTTTTAATTATTGCTTTATACTAGCTCTCCCTGTGTATGAATTATTCAGTTCTGATTTTCTTTATGTGACGAAAAATTTTACGCTATTCTATGGTTTTACATCGGAGTATATATAAAAGTTAAAAGGTCCAAACAGTTTTTTACTGCATTCATCATGACTAATATACGTGTTTCATGCGTTTTTCAGTGTTTTTTTTTTTTTTTTTAGTAGCACTTATCAGTGAAATTAAGTTGTGTTTACAGACAAATATACACGAGTATCCATTTCGAATAATTGAGTCGACGGTAAAATAATAGAATACAGTTGGTGACATGTCGTGTATATTTATGAAAACTCAGTGTGTATATTATATACCGTGTACATAAAATATGGAGGAAAAAATAAGACCATAAATCTCCGGGTTGTCGCAGGCGCGCGCCCTTCGAAGATTAATAGAGTGACAACAGTGAGAGAGGTCTTGAATTTTCTCTCCCTTTTGGCTATTAGAGTAATTAATAACTGCGATGGCGGTAGCCAGGGACAGGAGGATTTAAAATAATTTATAAACATATACATACCCACATTTAAAAGGGCACAGGGCCAAAATATATACACAATATTATATGTTATATGTTGAAAATAGTTTGGTCTATATTGAGGTCATGAAAATAATACAATAAGTTAGCACGCGAATTAATTTAATTGCTGACCACTGTTTTTGGGTTGTACGCATAATACCGCTGGTTCAACGGTTTTACCGTGTTTGGTAATACCTATCACAGGTTCCTCATTAATGCGACTATTAATTTAATTTTTTTATTTACAGAACGACAGAGACGAGGAAGATACGATATCTATGACTTCGGTGAGCTAAATTCATGTTTATTTTGAATATATTTTGTACCCGTTGCACTTTATTTTAACTATAATAATTTTTTGTTAATTAGTTGGATCCGAAGTCTAAAGAATGGATTGTGAAATCAGCACAATGTGATTATCAAGCTTTAGCAAAAATGGCTTCGGACAATCCAAAAATTGTAAAATTCAAGGTAAGATGTCATTATTTTGATAAAATTTTTTCGTTTAAAATTAGTTAAAATTGTATTTAGTACTTTTTAGTTATAACTTATAACTTGTAAGTTAACCGTTATAGTTATAGCAGAACAATTTAAGTAGAAATTATTTGAACCAAATTTTATTATGCGAAGTATTCGAATGTTTAGTATCAAGGAACTAAATTGTTCTAGAAACTTTTGTTTTAACATAAAATAAGTAGCTGATTACATTTTATACATATATGTACAACATATCCGACAACTTAATTCTCATACTTGTGTATTGATAGGATGTTCAACCAACGTAGTGTATCATTGCCATAACGACTGATCGTTATCATGCAACTCTCCTATTGTTTTTAAATTGATAAAAAGAACAATGGGTAGAGAAAGCAAACGATAACTACTGATCATTACTCTGGTAACTTCTCAATCGTCGGTCCGTATAATTGGTTTTGCTATTGCTATATACACATAGTATACATCACTAAAACGATAGATTCTAAGCTGATAGGAATGTAAATGTTGAACTATTCAAGCACATACTCCTTATCACCTAATTTTCGTTTTAAAACAAATTTATTTTTCAATTATGATACATAAAATTTTTGTATTAAAATAGTATTTAAAAAGTATTCTTATATGTTTATATTAAATATTATACTGTATTAGTTTAAGTAACTATTACTGTTTCTATCACAATGTTGTTTCCACTGAATTTTAAAAATGAATTAAATATGAAAAGTATTCATGTCGGTCTAGATCAATCATGTCTTTGTTTGTTTAAACAATGAAAATATTACTATTAGAACACTTACTGGTCATCATAAGGTCGTGTATCTTTTCAATATATACAGTTTTGAAGTAAAAAAAAAATTAATTTTCGCTATAAAATGTCTAATCTTAACAGTTTTTTGAATTGATGAACTTTTTATACCCATTCTCTATATGAAAATAAACTGTGTTCATTTTTGTCTTGATGTTTAACAGTTGACTGAAAATAACATATATTTACATTATGAAATTTAGTGGTCGTGGAAATCGGATTAACCACATAACTTAAGTGAGTTGAAAAACTTGGGTCAAGACTTCGGTACTAAAGGGATTTACTTACGAGTGTTACAAGTGACGGAGTAGATCTGATGTCTAGCATTATATGTGTGTGTGTGTGTTTGTGTGTACTCGTGAGATGACAAATTTGTTAATCAAAACGTAGTCTGTTTTGAATATGCAAATGTTGAAATGTAAATTGATCCTGGCTGCGGGACCTCTTTGTGCGACCGATAAATACACACGCACATATTTACATGGTCGTAATTAAATCAACGGAGTAGACTGCAAAGAGAATGGTCCGGATAGAGGGAGGTTGGGGTAGGATTGTCCCCTGCGATTAAAATGCTGGACCCGGGGAGGATATTTTAATTAATGTCCGAAAACCCGAAAATTAGGGGACCCGTGCCAAAAGGCGGTGATCTCATGCCAACCGGCCGCAAAACAAGTCTCGAGTTGTCGTCGTCCCTCCAGTCATAAAACAATGCATACCTAAACCGGCTCTTCCTTTCGTTCCAATATACTATGCTTTCCCCTCAAAATAATTCCAACAGTGTGGCCTGTGTAATACTGTTATTTCGCCACCGCTGGAATGCCTCCGGGACGTACACGGGCCTCAATTAATTCCGCCACTACTGGACCTTAAACGCAACGCCATTATATGCAGGAAAACCATTGATTCCATTGATTTCAACTGACAACAACACACCGTCCTTTTCGTCGTTTGCCTTATTACTACGGCACCGTTGTTGTTGTTATTACATGATAATTTCGTTATTTGATTCTGTGAATCTCATTATTAATTGAACAATCTTGATTTTTAACTAACCTGAATTACATTTTCAGCATGTTTAATAACAAAAAATTAGGTAGTTTGAAATTTTTGAAGCATATGATGACAATTTAGACTACTCGTTCACCTAAATATACCAAATTTTCAAATTGATTTTTTGAAAATTCATTTTCGTATTATCTACAAACAGAATATTTCGAAAACTTCGTTTGGTACTGAAAAGTAATTATCATTTTTAATCATATTTAAACTTATAGTTTCCTAACTGTTTTGTTTAAACTACCTGTAACAAAAGTATGTAAAAGTATTTTAAATTCGTTTATTACGTGATAGTGTATATGCTATAAATATATTTTATTGCCACTCATAAAAATGAAATATAATTTAAGTGTACTTCATTTTTACGACTGTAGTGAATATCGTGTATATGTTTTGTACTCTATTGTTTTTATGGTCAATTAAAAATTGATAAAAATCTGTTTAAAAAAAATAATTATTAAATACCAAGTTTTCATTTAACTTATAAAAAACATAGTAAGAACAAATATATATATATATATAACAAATTATTCTGCTACTTCAAGTATTACATAAAAAGACAAGTTTCTGCTTTTCTTTGTTTTGTCGTGAATTATCGGCGAATTATAATAGTATACATTTTACATTATAACTCGTGAGTAAAAAATCAAACAATTTGTTTCGTGTTCAAATTCAGTGAATAACGCTACAATACTAATGTACAAATTATATATAGTAGTATACTAGTAATTGTTCACTTGGTTATATAATTATAACATACGAACTATTTATGTATTAAGCTAGAATGGTTATAATATCTTAATAATTCTGTTGATTGTTCTGGAAAGGTAACTCATATATCTACATGAAGTAAAATGTGTACCGTAGTCATTTAATGCCATATTTAATTAAATTTAAAGTTTTATCCAGAATTAAAATCGATAAATGTGCATTTAGCTGTGTATTCATAAAAATAACTTGTTTATTTTATAAAGCCACTTTTGTCTATTGTTTTTGTAATTCCTTTCGATTAATTTAAAAGCGTAGATTTTATTGGGACTTTAAATAGTATCGTTTATTCTCTAATAGTGTTAAAAGTAGAATCGTTATGATAATATTTTTGAATTGCTCTTCGATTTTCTGTTTGTTATTTTCTTAAACAATACTACACGATTTCATATTGATGAATATTAACTACTCAAAAAAAAATATTATGAAAATGAATACACATAAGATTGCGTATTGGCGTTTTCAATAATACAAAACCTTTGACTACGGACGCCCTTTCACAATTCTGAATTGACGTCGACACCCTTCAACTGACTTTCAATAATATTATCACTCCAAAGTGTGATAGCAGTCAGTGTGTTTGCAAGAGGAGAGCTGTTTTAGCGCGTGCCAGTGATATATTATTATGGTCCTCGGGGAGAGGCTGTCACAAAGCGAATAGGCGGGTCATAGTGCGATCCGTCTTCTGCGGAACCCTTTTAATCCACAGCACAGCACTACTCTTCCGCACTTAGCCCTCCTCTCGCGAAACCTTTGTTTTACACTGAGTCTGCATCTGTTGTCGTGTCGCATTGTGTATGTGTTTGTATGGCATGCACGCTGTATACATTATTATACGCCCATCCCGCAAATAAATTGGCCGAGTTGCAGAGAGGAAACCACCAATTTATGGTTTTTAGGCAATTTAAACCTCCTCTCTCGACCGTCTCACAAGTAGGCGTAAACTGGCTTTTATTTTTCATTTTTTTCTTTTCTGTACCCTTACTCAGACTTCCTTATTTGAACCACAAAACGACGACTGTTTTGGACCTCATTGGAATTCATTGATAAACACCACCGTATCCTAAGGCACATTTGTTCTCGGTACTTCTGTTGCTGTCGAGTAGTTGTCGAACAATAAAAGAGAATAGTACAGCTTATTTTATGGCTATACGATAAATTACTTCTGAGATTTCAGAGAACAACATTGACACCATCCCTCTAATTAAAATAAAGCTCTCCTAATAAAACTAGTTTAATTTATGGTCTTTATTGATTTACCTCCGTCTTTTTTTTTTTCAACAAAAGTTTATAATCATAAATAAAACAGTTGTTAATTTACACTACTCTTGTTTTTAATTAAAACAAAATATTACATAATATCCTCATGTTACTATAAAAAACATATTTTCCTTCTCATTTTTATAATTAAGTTTAATGCGTCATGCATTGGAATTATGAAACTAATAATATACTTGGCAGTTTGTGTGGATGTTTCACAGTTAATTAATTATTTTTATTTTGACACAATCAACTAAAATTTGCCCGTTTTACTCGAGTTTCGGTTTTAATGGATTGTAATCGATTCTTTAACCAACAGGATTTACAATTATCCTTCTGTTTTTTTAAACGGCATCATGTTTAAGCCTAACATTGCACATCAGATTTCCAGTTTCAGGAATTTTGTGTTATTTGATATTGTGATGGGTAAGGTTTTCCTGAGTTATTACCTTCCTATTTAGTTTCGCTTATGGTTCGTTACTCTTAGGTAACGCTATGACACTATTACTTGGACACATGTTTGGGATCGACTTTCATCGTGACATTGTTCATAGCGAAATAGTTGAAACCCGTTGAAATATGGTACAATTCTACTCCCCAAATCCACAACATCTCTACTACTATACAGTTCGACTAATGTTTCATTTTTTTTATCGATTGTTCTTTAGTGTTGAAATTCTGTGTACAATTTATACGCCAAAACTTTACAATGATTGTTTTTCTCAGAAATCTATTTCATAGTTATAAAACGCCCAAATGAAATGATGTCTATTTTCATTTTTATGTATACATCTGGCAAAGATACATTTTTCAACAGTATTAATTAAATTTCCAAAATTATCATTTGAGTATTATACAGTTTAAACTGGAACCATGTGAGCTCTTGTGATAGTGTAATTTTTTGTTTTACGATCTTCGTATAATAAATATTACTTATTGTCTAATTTCATTGACATATTATCTTGTTTTTATATAGTTAACAGGAATGTAGTTTAAATTTAATTACTTAATAATGCTTAAACATAAATAACTTTATTAGTGAATTTGTTCGCCAGAAGTATATTTATCATGTTAACACTTTTTT